CGGTTGAAATGAATGTTTGTCTGTTACCTCCTATGGGTAATAGGAAAACAACTCTTGGAACAGGAAAATATAAATAAACCCTGCTTCTCTCCTAAAGAGGACACATCCTTAAGTCTTGAATATTTATGGGCTTATCCAAGGCATTCTGAAGCCAATGCCTGTTGTGTAAGCTTTGACCACTGTAAAGGCATAGCCTTTTATTTAACAATGCAGTCTAGGGAGACCTGCTGGGGCCGGCAGACAGGTGGTGTCTAAAAATCTACATGAGGACATTCCTCCAGTCCGGTTTTATCCTGGAATGCGTGCCTCGTATGGTCACGGAAGCGACATTTCCTCCCCAACCCCATCCCATGCAATCGTGCCTTATCAGCTTAGATCCTCTTTAAATCCCCTTTCTTTAACAGAAAAGAGATCTCTGAAATATTCATTCAGGGTTGTAGCACTAAGCCCCTTAGGATTTCTAATTTTCCATGGGTGCTTTAATTCTGAACTGCTCAGTACTTCCCTATCTGTGTCTGCCATAGGAGACAGTGCTCTAGGATTTCTCTTTGATGTTTCAAAAGCACTGGGTTTTAAAATTCACTGAAGAAGTTCCTAGGCTTTTCAAAGCCTGTGCATAATAAGATCATCATCACTGCCATTTCTCAGAAAGCTCCTCGGCCATAAGGATACATCATAACAACATTAATGGCTGGAGATAAAGTCTTACTAAAAAGAACACAATTGACTTGCCATCAGAACATATTAACTATTCTTTCTGCGTAGTCACAGAAATCCATTGTCCATCAAACCACAAGAAACAAATGGAATATATCTGATTCCTGGGTAATGACATCTGCCTCATGGACTTCCACTGATCACTGAGAGTTCCACAAAATGCTTATTATCTCGTTTTGGATGTGAGGGCGATCTGGCTGCGACATCTGTCACCCCATTGATCGTCTGAATATTATCCCGTTTCTCCCACTTCTGTGTCCACAGATATTTACTACCTTCCAAAATGGCCACAGAAACATGCTATCATACAAATAGAAGATGCCTGTATGGTTAGGTTACATTGTACATACTGTCTGAATGCACATACAATGATATTTCAGAAACACAAATAGCCTAGTTCCAGCCTTCATCACAACAGGAACGTTCCATTTTTCCAATTGCCAGGGACATACATAGACATTTAGGGTGCTGAACAATATCTATAAATAGGGCACTGAAATTATGGCAAACTATGGAGATAACAGAGAATGCCTCAAAATATAATCCTTACAGACATCCATTCATGCATATGCGTGGGAGCAAACACACATACAGTTTTCACTGTTAGGCAATGACTGTTCTTTCAAGAAGTAACCCGTGACTTAGAAGATCCTGGGATCCTGCACAATGATTGAAAGAGAACTTAAAAGACCCCTGAAGTGTTCAAGCTTCCTAAGATGACCAAAGTTTCAATTTTTTCATCTATCTCTGCACCCAAGGAAGAAAAAGTCCTTCCAGTGTAGCAGTAGCATCAAAATTAAGATAAGGAGGAAGCAGCAGCATTGATACAGATGGTACTGAAAATGTGCCACATAAACTAGATGGCATCTAATTGGTAACCCTCCACAGATGGCAAGACGCCTCTCAAAAGAATAGAGTGGGGATATTTTTTGGTGATTCCTCACACCTTGCAGCCCTCTTTACCATCCCCTCACACACTGTTGGAAAATGCCCCCAGATTCTTGAGAACAGAATGGGATCAGGAGCTTGAGGAGGTGGAAATGGCAAAATGACCCCCTTCCCCATTTAAGCTGGTAAATGCCTTCTGTCAGTGAAGGGACACCAACTGGAAGCCACTCATATAAAGCAGAAGTAATTCCAAAGTCACAGTAGGGTAATACCTTTATCAGGGCTATCTAAAATGTCACAGAAATAGCAAACAAGCTCTTTAGTTCTCCAGATGGAGTGCTAGAGGTGTTAGGCAGATTCAATTAGATTAGTCTCTGCTAAGTGCAAAACAGTTTTGAGGTCACACTAACAGGTGCCAACATTGGGCAAAATGCAGTGTACAATATTTCAAAAATATAAAATCATGTGAATCATATTTGTATATGTGAGAATGCCCATTATTGTTTCTTTGTGTTTGAATGTCCTCTTGCCAAAACTTATTTGCATATGGAAAACTAGTTCCAAGGTCAAGTGACTTAGTTAAGTTCTATTTGAAAAAGTATGAAAGACTTTCTTCTTTTTGGCCAGCAAAATGAGGTGTTTAGAAACTGAATTTTTGCATCAGAATTTCATGATATTTGAAAAATAATCTGAAAAGAATTTTTTTTAGAATAAAGACCTACCATATTTGTATAACTGCTTCCATACAACTAGATACATTTTAATTGGCAATTATATTCACTTTCATTTCCTTTGAAAGCTAACATAAGCTTGATCAGACATTATTTTCATACAAGGGGACTGCTGTCTGAATGTCGCCCATTCCATCTCTCCCACAAACTCACTCATTATATTACACTTCACTGATAGTACCAGTGAACCAACCGTAGCACATTTCTTCAAAACAAAACATACAAACTGTTTATTTCATAATGGACCTGGCTATAGATACTGCAGAATAGTTGTTATCTTTTCATATGCCACAGCATTTATTATTTTGATAGTCACAGGTCTCCTGAAATTGAATTCATCTCTACATTCTTTGCAGAGGAAGTTAAACCTTCAACTGGCAACTCCACTGAATATATGTGTAAACTAACATTTTTTTAAAAAATCCCCATCTTCTATAAACTCAATAAAATCTTAGGATAATGGATTGCAAAGGACAGGGATCTAGTTAACTGGGATAGTTAAGAGTATATATCAGTCAACATCTGGGGTGAACTACCAGAGCATATAGCTAATGCTATATTGCGTGAGTGCACAAAAATACTCCCATGCTTGTATTTTGCATTTAGCAAAAGAATGAAAAAAGCCTGCTTAAACTGGTATTAAAAATAATGAACATCTGAGCACTTGCTTGTGCGCAGTTCTGAATTAAGCCCATTATATGGCTTGTGACAGAGTTTCCACAAATAGCAGACACTGAATCCTTTAAACATGTGCAGGCTGTCTCTTCCCCACTGCCTGCAGCAATTTTTCTTTTATAGCTTCTTAGTTTTCCTGAAGTCAACTACGTTTTGTCAATCAACCATGACTGTCTATGGCAGAAAGAGGCAGTCTGTGTTCACTGCAAGCGATTACTGCTTTCCTTCTCACAATCTAACTCATGTGCTTTTTCATGTAGAAGTCAACAAATGGGTGAAAGATCCTTGAACCTGTTCACCAAAAAGAGGCGTGAGCAGAGGTTTCTCCTGATCCACCTCAACTGGTGACTCCTGCCTGGCTGTGCCTAGACTTGCCTACAAAATGAGGAACTGCCATATCACCTCTTTATAGTGGATAGGGGTGAATTAGCGAGCACTTTGTGCCTTCACTCTGGCAGGTGTGCTATTAATAATTAAATAATTAAATAAATAAGTAATTAAAAAGTAGGGCACCTGTTCAAGGGAAAAACAAGGGAAGAACATTTCAGTTGTACCTCACACAAGTCCATCATAGTTTTCTTCTGACAGGCACATTTCAGTGAATATGGCAGAATTTCAAGTATGCAAAAAGGCAGGCTGTATTCATAGATCAATTAATGACATCTTGAGTCATAAACCCGTTAAACTGGAGTGCCTGGAAATAAGCTGATTTGTTTCCATTAATGTGATGCATAGCAAAATCCCAAATGCATTTACTTATGAGATCCCAAGGAATTTAATAGGATGTAACTCTAGTAAGCATGTTTAGAGTCAAACGAGATGTTACTTGCTGCAGGCTGTCAGGTCCACCCAGTACATAATTGTATGGAGATGAGATTTAAAACTTTGTGTGGGAGAGAACTTTTATTCTGAGTATTTCTCTTCTCAATTTTTAAAGCTCAAAAAAGCATATTAGTCAACACTTTCATAGGTCAACCAAAATGTCACACAAGTATGCATGCCTTTGATCTCTGCAAAAGTCAGACTCATAGACATGTAATCATGGAAGCTGCCTTGAATTCTTGCTTTGGGGGGAAAGGCAGGGTATAAATAAAGGGATGGGTGGATGCATGGAGTCTGCCTTCAGTGATAAAATGCTTCCATCTGCCCAGTATTAAGACAGATGTTCAAGCTAAGTCTCGGGTTTCATATAGCTCTGACTTGGTGACTGACGAAATAAAGAATCATACAATGTTGCCCTCCCCCCATTTTAAAAATAGCTGTTATCTGGTTGTGTCCCTATATCCTTAGGTACATTGGTGGAAAACAGAAGTAAAGAGAATCAAGACAACATTTGCATTAATTGGAGATTAATTTTAGTTGATGCACTAGGATAAAGAATGTCCTTTTATTTGTAGTGAGGAAATTGGATCTGGAGTTGTTGAGAGATTAAGATAAGCATATGAGTCTCCTAAGGCTATTTTTACGAATATGTATTTCAAAACAGCACTGAATTTCCACTTTCTTTCCTTTCTCTTTTGAAATCTAAATACCCTTAATTCCAAAGATCTCGCTTGCTGTCCTAAGCCAGCCCTAGCAATTGTCTACTTTGGGGGCTTAATAAGGCCCTTTTGGGTGACAAACTGTACAAAGCAAATACAGTATTGTAAAAAAAAAAATATCTGACTTTCCACCCTCAGCTATATCTGCCAGGGGAAAATAATCATGCAGAAAGCAATGTATTAAGTCACTAAAATATCAAGTTTCTATTTTGAATCTAAAACTACAAAACATTTACAAACTGTTGCAAACCAACTCAGCTTCCTACTGCCATGGAATTTTATATAGTGGTAAAGAATAAAGAATGACACAGATATTTTAAAAGCACAAAAAGGTAATCCAACATCACCCCCTAAAACTTGAATATTTTATGATCTTTTATAATATAGGTGTTTTGTTGGGTTACAGCTGAAAAAATACAATTGTTATATAATATCGGTAGAAACTGACCATTTGCTGATGCCAGAATCATGGCTTGAAGCATTTCTGTATCAAACTGGTTGTTTGGCCAAGTTCCATTTTCCTCCCCATTCTGAGACCTAAGGAGAAAATAAAACAAATGAAATATTTCAAACAAGATAGGCAGAGAAATTGTTAAAAATGATATATCTTTCTTCACAAAATATGCATTGTTGTTTATCCCAATATTTTTAAAACAGATAAAGCTCAAAAGATAGTGACTTCTTTCAGGGATTAATATTTCTCAGTGAATATACTTTGGCTGGGAATCTCCTCCAGTGAAGGACCGCTGGGTTCCTGTTCCTTTAACAGATTAACTGTGCAGAACAGTTTGTTATTTAAAAAAGATAAAAAGGTTGCCTGCTGATATTGTCTCTGTACACAACTGTTAAAACAACAAAGACTCTCATGCCCCTTAAAACAGACTTAATGTGGCATCAGCTTTTATGAACGGGAGTTCCACTGATGTGTTCTTAGTACATGCAGTTGGCCTTGTGGGCTTGGGTCCATCTGCAAAGCGTATGCTACAATAATATTTGAGCATCTCTGTTTTGCTCAAGCTGTTGCAAAACACTGGAATTTGTAGGCATTGTGGAATCTCTGCAGATCTCCAGATGGTGCAGAACTTCAATACCCAATGTTTCTCACCACTGGTTATGCTGGTTAGGACTACCACAGGTCCAGTCCTTTTCATCATCTTTATCAATGACTTCAATCATAGAACAGAGGGCATGCTTATCAAACTTGCAGATGACTCAGATTAAGATCTATGTCCTTCTAAGAAGAGTAGCTGCAAGATCCATATCCTTCCAAGAAGGGTAGCTGCAAGAGCCACCTCTAATGTCTTTATGCTGCTTTCTAACACATATCTTCAAGCATACTTAGTGAAAATTAAGTCTTACTACAGATAACCATGCGTGTAATTTAAAATACCAGAAAAACATTAAAAATAACAGCTGGACATTGGCTAAGATTAAATGATCTTAGGAAAGATGACGTACAAATATCATTCCTAAAGTGAAATCTTGAAGGTTGCTGTGAGTTCTCCAGGCTGTATGGCCATGTTCCAGAAGCATTCTTTCCTGACCTCACAACTTCAGAGGATGTTTGCCATAGATGTGGAGTGAAAGGTCAGGAGAGAATGCTTCTGGAACATGGCCACACAGCCCGGAAAACTCACAGCAACCCAGTGATTTCAGCCATGAAAGTCTTCAACAACATAATCTTGAAGGCCTTATTTGATGGATGTCTGAGTGTTTTCAGGTTACTCAAGATAATACTTAATGCATTTTCTATTCAGTAACTATCCTAGAGTTCACTCCAGGTCTGTGGATTTGTCTGCAAGAGAGTGCTGTTGGCTGTGGATTGAAAAATGTGTGTGTGTTCTGTGTTGGAAGGCAGGGGAAGCAGAAGGAAAAAGGACAACAAATCAACATCTGCCACTGCAGAGTGAGACAGGAAGGAAATGGTGCCTTTGTTAAAGTCCAGATTCACTGAATTTGATTACCTTTGGAAAAATTCTAATGAGTTCATAATCCAACTATGGAAATGGCCATGCATAATTGGAAAGGGCATGGGAAGACTGGGACGGGTCAGGACAGGTGGTGCTCCACCAGTGAAGCTAAACGAGGAAGGAGGCTTTAAAACTCTGTCCTGCCCCGCACTACTTCCGGCCTGCGTTATGAAGGAAGGGGTCGGCGTGAAGAAGATACGGGTCAAGAATAGGGCTCCACAGCCACATACGGACCCACAAGGAAATCCATAATGGAAAACCATCTTACTCGTCCAACGAGGGATCGCCTAAGAAAGAAATCTCAAAACAGTCAGATGTGTGTGCTATAGAAATTGGGGTGTGTGTGTCTGTGTGTGCAGGCGTGCTTTCTGTATAACCAGTTTTATAATTCAGTGCTTATATTACCATGTACTGCTCCCAGGTCCATGTGGTGGGATAGAGTAAAATTTTGGAACAAGAAATTTTACACATATGGTTTTAATTGCCTTTTGTAATAAAGCCAGGTCCAACATTTTTTTTAAAAAAAATTCAAAACGTCAGCTTGCAAACTGGGTTTTCATGTGAAGCTTTCCAATAAAAAAACAGGAGCAGATGTGGCTTTGGCTATTAACATGGTTAGGACATTTCCCTATCCAAGCTGTGCATACACACCAAATCCCACACATCTCTTTAAAATCACTAGTTTACTTCAGGGGAAATGATGAAAACTTTGCTGTCTCTAGAAAGCTGCTGAAGGACATGTGCTGATTATTGCTATCTTAAAATGTTTGGTATATCCTTACTCTATACAGTAGTGGCACCAGGAATTTGGTCAGAAGACAGATGTTTGGTGCAGTGAAAAATCTTTACAAACGTAATACTTTGAAAGTTTACCAATCCTATTACAGTCACTACTATCTTTGTAATGATCCCCTTTCAGATTTAATTTCTATGAACTATTTATTGCAGGACTATTTGCTATAAGATTCCTCCGAGAATTCCAGAAGAAACACTGTAGTTACTATAAGACAAATGCTTTTCACACAAGGATCTTACAAGGAAGAAACCTGGAGAGAGGAGACATAACATATTATATCCCTGGGTTCTGGCACTTACTCATTAGTATAAATATATCTAAAATATAGCAAGCCCCTGTTCACTTCTTATGAGAATATTCTTTTAGAAAGAAACTAAGATGTTTCGCCACAGAATCCCAATCAAGAAAAACATTGCTTCATGTATTTAAAGGAATGGGATTATTTATTTGTGGCTTCTTCCCAAAGTTAATGTTTGTACAGGACCATCACACAGTACTGGTGAAAACATTTCAATTTTTAAGACTTGGAAGCATTTGCAGGGGAAGTCATGAGAAGGAAATGCATCTTTTTTCTCCACTGAATGACAATGTTATGCACTGGGGATCAAATAGCAAGAGGTCAAGAGGCAGCCAGTAGTATGCTGATGAAGAAATATCAAGGTAATGTCTTCAACGTTATAACATAGGGTCCATAAAACTAGCATCACAGAAAAGTGGTATGACCCTATCTGATCAAGAAAATAAGAATGAAAGCAATAGATCATGAGTTCGAAGCCAGCCCGGGCTGGAGTGGGTGTCCAGCCATTGTGTAGCCCGTTGTCGACCTTTGCAACCCGAAAGACAGTTGAATCTGTCAAGTAGGAAAATAAGGTACCACCTTGTGTGGGAGGCTAAATTTAACTAATTTATGAGGCCATAAAGAAAAAAGACTCCGGGGAATGTGGAATGCGGAAGAACTTCATCGGTGTCGTTGATGGACGATGAAAAGCAGCAGCTCCCCTGGCGGCCAGAAAAAAGTTAAATAGCCTCGGTGTATTTGTCTGTTAAATGTTGTTTGTCAAACTGGCATTTAATGTTTGCCATATATGTGTTACTGTAATCCGCCCTGAGTCCCCTGCGGGGTGAGAAGGGTGGAATATAAGAACTGTAAATAAATAAATAAATAAATAAATAAATATGCATCCATTTCAGCAAATAATGGAATCTCCCATCATAACTGGAACTATTCATAGGTCACCTTACAAACCACCTAACCTCAGAATTTTCCTTCTGTTTAAAAAAAGACAAAATTTTACAATAAACAAAATATATTACAAAATGCACCACCCATATGAGGTTGTTGTTTGAATTAATTCTCTAGCATCTGTAAAAAAAAGCTATATCTAGCTCATCATGAGGAAAAAAGCTGAAAAGGCCTTCTTTCTCATTGATCTCATTCACAGCATGAATACCAAGGTTGGGCGGTCCCTCTGGGTTGAAGGTGGTGCTGTTGAACGCCAGATCTGTCAATGGTAAAACAACTTTCATCCAAGATTTAATCCTGGATGAACGGGCAGATCTGGCGTGCATCACAGAGACCTGGCTGGACGAAGCGGGAGGTGTAAATTTGACCCAGCTTTGTCCACCCGGGTTCTCTGTGCAGCACCAACCGAGACCCGGAGGGCGGGGAGGCGGGGTTGCAGTAGTCTATAGAGATTCCATTCTTCTGACCAGGGCCCCCATCCCGCAGTCAACAAATTTTGAATGCGTCCACCTGAGGGTGGGTGACCGGGACAGATTAGGGATTCTGCTAGTGTACCGCCCACCTCGCTGCACTAGTCTCCCCACCTGATCTAGCGGGGGTGGTCTCGGACCTGGCATTGGAGTCCCAACGGCTGCTTGTGCTGGGGGACTTCAATGTCCAC